TCCCAGATGTGTCAATATAACATCTCTAATAAGATGTAACTTTGAGGAAAATCAAGCCTCAAAGTTTTCTTTTTGGGGGGTGTTACTTGGAACCCTGACACTCTTTCCTTCAAGGAACCTCAAAGGTACACTCATTCAGAGCCAAGAACATCTATTCTAAATCTGCTCCATGAATATGGAATGTGACTTCCGGTTGACGTCGTGGCAAGAATGGCTGGAAAATAGTGGGCTCCGCCAAGCCCTGCAAAATCCAACCAGTAGCTGCTGTCAGGAGACCCTACAGGGTCATAGCCACTTTGTAGGGGTGGTGAAGGAAGGAGAGGTGCTTCGCTGACCACGAGGATCTCGCAATTTCCTCATTAGGTTGAACCAAGCTCTCCGGAACGGAAGCAGGGACAATGGCCATTTTTGGCAGTCACAAAGCTGAGACCGGGACTGCAAGATTTCTGCTGGAGCAGATCATGGACACGAGCATTGAAACTGGGTGAGATAATTCCCAACTTTTACTCTAGAGACCTGATTTAAGTACAAGAATTTTAAAAGATAACCTCCAAGCCTAAGAAAGCAGCGATTAAATACAGAGAGAGAAAAAAAAAACTGAAAATCAAGAGGTGAAAGAAGCCCAATGGAAGCTTTAAAATACAGAAAGTCTGAAAAAAACTTAACATTTTGAAAGGTGATTTTCAGGAGAAACTGTCCTGTTTACTTGTATTTCTAAACCCCCTGGATTTATCTGATAATCAGCTGTTTTTGACAGATTGTTTAATGTTGGATTTGGCAACAAGAGAGCCATCTATTGGAAGAAGAGAAGTACTACAGCACCATAGCCGCAGTATACTCAGTGAAAGTGAACCCAATACACACAAAGTCATCTGGAAGGTGGCCTGACCTTGACTTTAGGAAACAACTCCTGTTAGAAGACAACTTGGATATTTTGAGAATACTGAGGGGTTTTTTCTCTTCTGAAGATTTCTAAAAGGAACTAACTTGCAAATAACTAAGCTTTATTAAAATTTGCTATAGGATTATGGATCTGAAAGATTGGAGGAATCTAGTGAATTAATTTGGATTTGGACTATTAATGTTATTTAACAGAGCATTCTACAAGACAAAAGAAGAAAGGTGATAGAAGAAAAGAGAAAAGAAGGGAAGTTAGATAAGACTTTAAAATTTGGACAATTGGGAAGATATATAATTGGAAAATTGTAAGGCTGTAAAGACTAAAGAATTTTAAAGATCATAGGGGTTTTGGAGGTATAATTATGGGATTGATGAAATCTTATTAAATAGGAGCTTTTAAATATTGAGACGTTGGAACTATAGAAATATACTGAGTAATTTTTATTAAATTGTTATAAAATGGATTTACAGGGGATGATAGAGGCATACGAAGAAATATTCTTGATGTTAAAAAGTGTGCCTGAAACTATAAAGAACAATAAGGAGACAAGGGGATTGTTTAAAGACACAGAAATGAATGTAGAAGTCACTCAACAATTGGGGGGGAAAGAGCAACACTATATTCAGGAAATAGATGAGAAATAAGCAGCAGTAGAAGGGGAAAATCAAAATGAGATGCAAGAAGCTAAAAGATAAAGGATTAATAACTAGGAATCAATTAGATCGGTGGTCACCAACCGGTGGTCCGCGGACATGGTGGTCCGCAAGAAAATTTTGGTGGTCTCTGGTGCACCCAGGTGAAGGAGCTGCTCTGGGATGAGCAATGGCCAGTCCTGTGACTAGAGCTCTGGAATATGAGACTGGCCAGGCAACTCATGGTGGGGCTGTAAATCTCCGTTGTAGAGGGAGATTCATGCAACTTGCAACTTTGTAGCGCAGCCCTCACTGGCTGGAATGAGGTGCAAGGGGGGGTTGCAGTGCAGGCAGGCCAAAGTAATGGGTGGCGGGAACCCCGGGCTGTTTCTTCCCCCTGCTGTACCTTTCTGTCAGCTGAACCCACCAGTGGCTATTCCCGCCCCTTGCCCTCCCTTTCCAGTCACTCCTCACCTGGCCTGAGAAGGGAAGGGGGGGGATGGAGATTTGCTCCATATTCCAGAGTGGGAGCAAAGCATTTCTTCCGGCCCTTGTTGGTGCTCCATGTACCTCAATCTCTCAGGGAGACGCTTGACTTCCTCTCAGCCTCAAGACACTGGCTGGCCCATGAGATGAGAGAAAGAAAGAGAATCAGAGAGAGAATGAAAGAGAGAGAATGAGAGTGGGAGAGAGAAAGAAAGAAAGGGGGAGAGAGATGAGACAGAGAGAGGGGGAGAGTGAAAGAGACAGAAGAGAATGAGAAAGAAAGAGAGAATGAGAATGAGAGACAGAATGAGAGAATGAGAAAGAGACAGAGAATAAGAATCAGAATGAGAGAATGAGAGACAGAATCAGAGAATGAGAATGAGAGACAAAGAGAGAGACAGAATGAAAGAGAGAAAATGAAAGAAAATGAGTGGCAGAGAGAGGGGGGAGGGAGGGAGAGAGGGAGGGAGGAGGGAGAGAGGAGGGAGAGTGCCTGAAGGATCCCATCCCATCACTGGGAGTCCAGCGCTTCAGCAAGTGGCATGCTGGATTCGTATTAGTGGTCCGCAGGATTTAAAATTATGAACTTGGTGGTCCCTGAGGTCCAAAAAGTTGGAGACCCCTGAATTAAATAACTCCTTAAAAGTTTACAATAGAACAGACAGGAAAAAGAAAAATCTCTTTTAAAAAAAGGAAAGGTTTAGAGGAAAAAAAGAAAAATCTCTTTTCTTAAAAAAAAGAGGAAGTCTTGTGGATGGGTGTTCAAATAATACAGCAGAAAGAAACAAAGGGCACCCAAAGGGAATGTTCAGTAGGCGCAAATCTATCAAAGAGCTACAAGATTCCAAGAGAGAGAGAGAGATAAAAGGCTGACTAAAAAGTCAATAAATGATGGAATTTCAAAAAGGTTAAGAGATGATGGATAATGAGAAAATAAAATAATAAAATAGAAAAATACAAATAGAGAAAATAGTAGTATATATATTAACAGATAATACAACTTACTATAACTAAAAATAAGTTAATTTTAGTAGATGGAAATTTAGGATTAGGTAATCTAATTGTATTATCAACATTAATAGTGTGTTAAAGTATATTGTGAATTTAAAATATTACAGATTAGAAATTGTGGGGATTTTGAGATACACTTCCAGGATTCCTTGAGGAGCACCTAGAGGCTCCAGCTGGTCCAGAATGCAGCCACGCGGGTGGTTATGGGAGCGACGGGACGCTCCCATGTGACCCCCTTCCTGCGCGAGCTGCACTGCCTCCCAGTGGTCTTTCGGGTGCGCTTCAAGGTTTTGGTTACCACCTTTAGAGCGCTCCATGGCTTAGGACCGAGGTATTTACGAGACCGCCTTCTGCCACCAGTAGCCTCTCACCGACCAGTACACTCCCATAGAGAGGGGCTCCTCAGGGTGCCGTCGGCCAATGTCGACTGGCGGCCCCCAGGGGGAGAGCCTTCTCTGTGGGGGTACCCGCCATCTGGAACGAGCTCCCCCCGGAGATACGGAGGATCCCGGACCTGCACGCTTTTCGCCGTGCCATCAAAACATTTCTTTTCCAGCAGGCCGGCCTGGCCTGGCCTAACCTCTCTTTTAAACTTTTAAAATTCTTTAATTTTAAATTTGTCTTAAGAATTTGGGGTGTTTTAAATTTCATTTTCCAGGCCAAATTATTTAATTGTATTTTAATGCTTCTTTAACATTTGTATTATATGTATTTTATCTGGCTGTTCACCGCCCTGAGTCCTTCGGGAGTAGGGCAGTATACAAATTCAAATTCTAATAATAATAATAATAATAATAATAATAATAATAATAATAATAATATTGTTAATATTTGGCTTTATTAGTAATCCTACACATTTGGAATATTGAAGTTATGGTGGAATAATGAGTAATTTTTAAAATATTAAATATTAGTAATTTAGTAGGGGATAACAAATACATGGCGCAAAGAAATGTTACCTATGTTTAAATGAATTAATGGGGAAAATGATAAAAGAATTATAAAGAGAGAATAGTATTGTTGAAGTTGGAAGATTAGGATTACACATACTTATTTGCATTATTATTGTTAGCGTTATTTTAAAAAGATTTCACCCAATCAATACACAGTCCACAAAATATGTATGATGTGAAAACTGCAAATAAGACATGTTTTAAAAATGCTAGTACAACTGTTGTACACCTGAATGATGCATGTTATACCTGTGTATTTTTTTAACGGTCTTAACTTAGTACCAAACATTCACTTTAGGAATATTCTGTTCTAGTAACATGAAGCAAACACACACACAAACACCGCCAACTGAACTGCCATTCTCTTCATGATTTGCTATGCTGCCACCCTGTAAAATGACTTCCCCTTTGCAATTTGCCAGATCCAACACCAACAGAGTAGATATATAACTCTTTTCTTTGTAGGATGGTTTTCTCCATCCACCAACCCTCCTCCCCTCTCATTTTTAATGAATTTTATTATAAACTACTTCAGATTTTTTGCAATGAGAAACAAGATAATTTTGACTAATGTGGTTAATAAATAAAAAATGTACACACCCGTATTCAATTGTGATGTCTTTGCTAAGGAAATCATCAATCAGACGAAGATCTGTGGCTGGCTTTGGTTAATCCCAAAATGATAAAACAAGATTTGGTTGGTATTTGAATGGGAGGCTACTCTCATTAGCTTCCTGACTAGGCTAGACTCAGAAGTCAAATAGCATTCCAGAAGTACCAATGGCAGATTACTTCCTCAGTTTCAAAGAAAACCACATGATTAATAAAGTAACTGGGAACTGAACTTGAATTAAATTGAACTTGGGCCAGCTACCTCAATTATTTGTGATAGCATCTTCATTTATGAACAACCCAGCAATTAAACAGGAGTTTCCCTAAAGCTATTGTCCAGATTATTTACTTTTTAGTTACAGCAATTACAACTTTCTGCAGGTGATACCTTGAAGAATGCAAAGGTCAGGATATTTTACTTTTATTCAGCAGAGCCAGATATTTCATAGATCACTGTGCAGGATAAAAGCCAAAATAAAAAATAAAAAAATTACTGTATTCCCCCCCCCCTTTTTTTTAAAATAGCCATAAGAGACCTGTAAGGCCAATTTATTTGGTATTTACAAAGGTAATTATGATAGCAGTAAGCTACATTATCAAAGAAAAGTAACAGATTACTTTAAGAGGTTAAAAAATACAAAAGAGCAAAAAATATATTATTCAAGACATATATATTTAATACGCATCTATAACTGAGTATAAATGTGTCACAGAGTACATTATGCTTGTCCACACACAGTATACCTATAGGCAATCCACTCATAGAGGACAGCTCTTCAATCTGTTGAGTGAATGTGGCCATACCTTTATCTTTCCAATGCTGCAGTATCAGTCATAAGAGCATGGAGAATGAGTAGTTGTCAAATTCCATATACTAGGTAAATTTTAGCTCTTATACTGAAAATTTTAGCTTTTGCTGCTAAGTTGTATTTCTATCTATGTCACAAACCACAAACCACTACTTTGTCCTGACAAAGGAAAGTCTAACCCTGCAGATGTATTGGGACTGAAATTTCTTTGCCTAGGGAACCAATTAATATATAGAACTGCAGGATAAACATAAGACTGAGGTTGCCTGCAGATTAGCCTATGCAATGTTTTAGTTTGATAATATTTAAGTGTTGTCCCATCCCCAAAGCTAAATCATGACATGACAGGAGCCCTTCCCTTTCTAACAGAAGCAGAACTGCCCCATTGCCTCTCTTCACAATTGAAGCAGATGACATAGCAATAGCACTTAAGACTTATATACATCACTTCACAGTGCTTTGCAGCCCTCTCTAAGTGGTTTACAGAGTAAGCGAATTGTCCCCAACGCTCTGGGTCCCCATGTTACCCACTGTGGAAGGATGGAAGGCTGAGTCAACCTTGAGCCAGCGAGAATCAAAGTGCTGGCCGACAGTTAGAAGGCACTGCAAAAGTGACTTCTAACCACTGCGCCACCATGGCTCAGTGGTAAATTGGATACATGCACAGAGTCATTGCAGCTTCTGCAAGGACTTGAAGCCACACAGCATCATCGTAAGATGCCACTTCCACCCCATATATACATTGATTCTTTTTTTAATCTTGCTTGCTGTTCAGTTTAATGTTTTGAGTTTTAGTATTCTAAGAAGGCCTTATTAGAAGCTAATATTCTTCTAAAAAAAAAAACACACACACACACAGCAGAGATGTAAGTACTCTAGCTCAAGGCAACTGTAAATGCTGTAAAAGTTTGGGTTTTTGACATGGCATGAAACACAAAGGTGAAAATATTTGGAAACCACATGCTTTCCAAACATAGCAAACATTTAGCTTTCCAAGGAAAGCTTCAAGTTCATAACTGCACTCAGATACTCTTCATTCCCAAGATCCATTTTCAGGGCTGATTCGTAGGCTTCAATGGCTTTTTCTTTTAATCCAAGGCGTTGGAAGGTGAATCCTAAGCTTTCAAATAACTCAACACATATTAGACCTTTCTTAACTGTCTTATCTACCAATTTATTCAAGCTTCTTTCACAGTTCTTTTGTTCAAACGAATTGTTTTCAATTTTCAGCCCTTGCAGGTACTGTTTCATAGCGTTCACATCTGATTTTCTATGACGTTCCTGAAAACGTCCATAATTAAAATGGAGCTGCTGCTTCTCTGTAGCAGTTAGGTTGCTGATGGCAAACACTTTCTGAAAGGTTTCATCCGCTTCCCGTAGCTGTTTTTTTTCGGCATACATGTTAGCAAGGTCAATATAAGCATAGACAAACTTGGTTTTACGCTCCACCACTTTTTGGAAATGAAAAATGCAAAGTTTCATCAGTTCATACTGCTTTAGAACAGACTGGAATTGGTCCTTGGACACTTTTTTTTTCAGGACAAAGTACTGTATTCTATAGCATATTCCAATTTGATGGTGCAGGAATGCAGAGTTCGGAGTCAAGCTTAATGCTTTCTTCAAATGTTGCAATGATGTCTCTATGTCTCCTTTCTTTCTGTAAAATTTGGCAGCATACCTTAATACATATGGAACGTCAGGATGTTTTCCAAGCACTTCCTTAATGTATTTTTCTCCTTCCTTCACTCTGTTTGTTTCCTGTAACTTTAATGCAAGGAGAGGAGTCACAAACATGTCATTGGGATTCAGTTTTTCTGCAAGCCTCAAAGGTTCCAGTGAAGAGCCTTTTCCAGAACATTTTTTTGCATAATAATCTTCCAGGCGGTATACTGTAATTGCATAGCCTGAATTAAATTCTGGGTTTTCAGGTTCTTTATCCCAGGCTTTTTCAAAGTTCTCCTTGGCCTTTTCATAATACCTGGCTCCAAATTTGAGGAGAGCCCAACCCTTTTCACAGAAGATCTGTGGGAGCTCCATCTTATAAGGAAATTCACTTCCAAGTTGCTTGCAGGTGTTTTCTACCTTCTCCACGTAGGCTTGGGATTCAGTAAGGTTGCCCATGTGGTAGTGCACCCAGGCATAGTTGCCCCAGGTGACCAGGCTTCCCTTTTCAACATCCTCAGGGTATTCTATGGGCACAGCCTCTTCAGCTTTCTGCAGGTTTTCCAGGGCTTCGTCCTTCTTGTCGTTCAGGAATTTCACATAGGCAAGAAGGTTGTAATTTCGAACTTTGGATTTGCTGGTTAAGAACTGGATCTGCTCAGCAATTCTTTCCTCCAATTCATCAGGATCAATATGCTCTTTCTGCAACTCCCATGTAAAATGGCATTCAAGTTGTTGGAGAATCTCCTTTAAACCTTCCTGGGAGAGGAGACTGGAAAAGGAAAGAGAATGAGAGACATTTACATTATGAAAATAAGAAACAGTCCTATTATCTGTGATAATGGGAGATTTTCTTAAAAAAATAAACTGAATTTAGTGATGGATTTTTATACTTTTTAAATATTAGTTAAATATACTGGTAGAGAGCAATTAGTACCGTATTTTCCAGTGTATAAGACGACTTTTTAACACATGAAAATCTTCTCAAAAGTCGGGGGTCGTCTTATACGCCGGGTGTCGTTCTCCTGTAACCAAGCAGACCAGCCCGAAAGGCTCTGACGAGCCTTAAATGGCTCTGACGAGTCAAGCTCTGACCATCCCAGCTGAGTTGCCTGCTAATCAGGCAACTCAGCTGTGATTGCCAGAGCCATTTAAAAGGAAAAAACTTTTTTTCTTTTACATGGCTCTGGCAATCCAAGCTCTGACGATCCCAGTTGAGTTGCCTGCTTGGATCGCCAGAGCCATGTAAAAGGAAAAAAGTTTTCCCCCTCCAGCATGCTTACCTTAGCTGCTAGTTGCAACGCTTGCCTTGCTTCGCTTGCCTGAATCCATTCCATCAGCAAGCAACTCCCTGCTTGCAATCAAGCAGGCAGGGAGTTGTGGACTTCAACTCCCAGAATTCCTCAGCCAGCAAAGCAAAGCTGGCTGAGGAATTCTGGGAGTTGAAGTCTACAAGTCTTAAAGTTGCCAAGGTTGGAGACCCCTGTTCTATTGGGTAAGTTTTTTTCCCCTTTGGGAGCTTTAAAAAAAATAGTTAATTGGGGGTTTTTTTAGTTGTTCTTTTTTAGACCTAGCCATTTAAAGTTTAGGAAGTTTTAAATTTAGCTTTCATATAAAAATAAAAATAAAATAAAATAATATTTGTGCAGCTTTCTGAGATTTAGTGTATTTCTATAGTGTTTCATTCTAACTACACAAACACACAAAATCTCACAAAGCTGTATGTGGAATTTTGTGTGTGTAAAATGTGAAAGTTGGTTTTTTGGGCTTTTTGTGGCTGTGTGAGGTTCCTGCTTGTTGCAGGGGCCATTTTGGGTCTAGCACAGCAGCTTTTACATTGTGGGTGAGCCAGTTGATGTTTTTTAATTTTTATTTGGTGTGCGTTGGAAGAGGGGTAGTCTTATATGGCGAGTATAGCCCAAACCCTATATTTTAACAGGAAAAGTTGGGGGTCGTCTTATATGCCCAGTCATCTTGTACGCCGGAAAATACGGTAGTATTTGCAGTATTGGTCTTTCAGAGAAGAAATGTTAATCTGAAGATGCCTGTGTTTTTAGCACTGTGAAATAAAGAGCCTGAGAACAGAAAAATAGAGCACTGAAGATCATCCACAAAGTGCTCCAGACAGATGCTTTTCTAATGAGACTGCAAAACATCAGTCTTTAACTGTTTAGAGTACTGGAAGACAAGCCATCTTTCTCAAATCCAGTTTGCGCCTTTAAAGACATTGGGTATGCATACTTATTTTTCTAAAAACTTTTGGGAATTGCCTGTTAACCACTTTTTAGCTATTAGGAACCTTTGGTTCCACAAGTCAGAAAGTACCCGGTGAGTTTCCTTCAATCCTTAGTGGAAGAAATATTAAGTGCAAGTTTAAAAACTTTTTAAAAATGCACATTTGGGGAATAAAGAGCCAAAGATTATTAGAACTTTGATTGTATTTGATTTAATATACAATTCTGAAATTAATTATAACAATCCTTCCCGTAAGAAAATGATTTTGTTTTGAATTGTTTAAAAGAGCGTAGATGAGACTTTGAAGTTTGGACACTAGAGGAAACTCGAAGAAATTATAGTTTATAATTAAAGGAGAAGAACACTTAAATTTGACTTACACAGAATTAAGCAAAGTATTTTAACACTGGACATATATTGAAAGGTATCTTTGAACAATGGACCCAGACATTAACTTTAAGATGTCTGCCTATATAGATAGACTCTGTTTAAAAGTTGTTAAGGAAGGGGGAACAAGTTTTATCTGACAAGATTGTGACTGATCTGGAAGTGTATTTAAAAGTGATACATCCGCTACAAGAACGATATGGAAAAAGGACTGGCTAATGTCTTAATAAGAAAGAATATGCAAACAAACAAATGGAATGTTCTGGAAAATTTCCTATATTGGTTTTCCAAAAGGGGCTTGTTGAAATGAAGAACTTTGTGTGAAGGGACAAAAAAAATGAAATCAAAATTTAGGGCATTATTTCAAGGTTGTAAAAGGAATTCAAAGCTGATTTATTTGATCATTGTTAAAATAGAAATATGGGTATCTCTGGTAACCCTCAAGGGACTTTGCTGATCAGGTTGAAATGACAAGGCTTTAAGGCAGGGGTGGGAACAATGGCCCTTTTATGGCTGACTCGGGAATTCTGTGTCAGGGCGTTGATTAATCCCATTCTGCTTTTGGGATAATCGCACCTGATTACGAGGGGCGGATCGAGACCTTTCCTTGCAAGTATACTTTAAGAAAACAAAACCCAAAGATATTTTCTAAGAAAACTCATTTATTTGTTATAAAGAAAATAAAACACCTAACTGATCTAATAAGTTACATTTTGAATAAAAGTTCATGCCAGCTGCTTTTCAGCAGTCGGACTTCTGGCAAGAGAACAAAAGGGAGGTGAGTGAAAAAATGTGGGTTGGACATGCGCAGTTTAGCTTACTGATAAGGATTCTTGGCAAGCTACGGAAAGTCTGATAGTCCAGAAATGAGAGCTCAGCTGGTAAATAAAAAAAACGCAGTGACATTCTGGGAGTTGAAGTCCACAAGTCATGAAGGGGCCATCATTCCCCACCTCTGCTCTGAGGATTTGTTTATAGATAGGAGATAAAATATGGGAAGAAGGTACCATTTGTTGTATTTTAAAAGAAGGCAATAAATTATTAAAATTGAATATACTCGTATAAAGAGGAAGTAATTTCTTTATAAAGTATAAAATTTTCCAGGTCAATTATAGTATTTTTTAAAATTACCTATAATTATCTTTACCCACAAAACATCTGTTGTCTTCTTGGTAAAATACTTTCCCATCAGTATTTCAAAACTCAAAAGTCTGAATATGTGAATGTGAGTATTGTTGTGGTTGTTGCCATGAATGCGGTTTAGACTGTTGAGTTGAGATTTTAGGTCAAAAGCAACTTCAAAAAGATGGTAGTTGCCTGCATAGTCACAATCCTCTCCCCCAGTATTTTTTCCTGTGTATTCATGGATTTCATTAACACACCTAATTTATAAGGTAACCACGAAGGTACAACATATTAAGGTACACACTGTTATTAATTCCTCTTACCTTTTTTCCCATTCTCCATCAACAATTAAGAACAACCAGAGTTGTGTTTTAAGATTTAACAAATTTTAAAACTGCCCGTCATCCTCACAGAGGGACTCTTGGGCAGTATACAGATGAAACAAATTTTTAAAAGGCAAAGATGATTAAAATTCAACATTAAAGAGTTAATTAAAAGAGAAGGGTGAAGATGACTTTCAGGGCACTAGCCAATCCCATTGCATGTTCCTATGCGAGTGCCAAGCAAGGCTGCAGAGCCATGCATGTACACCTTTCTGGAAGGCCAGAAGAATGGGGGCCCACCTCACAGGGTGGGGGGGGAGCAACGGCAGAGAAAGTTCTCTTTTTGGAAACCCCCCCCCCCAGTCAGAATTCTTTAACTGACAGGGAACTAACAGAGGAGGAGGAGGAGGAAGAAGAAGAAGAAGAAGAAGAAGAAGAAGAAGAAGAAGAAGAAGAAGAAGAAGAAGAAGAAGAAGAAGAAGAAGAAGAAGAAGAAGAAGAAGAAGAAGAAGAAGAAGAAGAAGAAGAAATGTCCCTCTATTATTATCCATTGAAGAAGAAATGTCCCTCTATTATTATCCATTGAAGAAGAAATGTCCCTCTATTATTATCCGAAGAAGAAGAAGAAGAAGAAGAAGAAGAAGAAGAAGAAGAAGAAGAAGAAGAAGAAGAAGAAGAAGAAGAAGAAGAAGAAGAAGAAATGTCCCTCTATTATTATCCATTGAAGAAGAAATGTCCCTCTATTATTATCCATTGAAGAAGAAATGTCCCTCTATTATTATCCATTGAAGAAGAAGAAATGTCCCTCTATTATTATCCGAAGAAGAAGAAGAAGAAGAAGAAGAAGAAGAAGAAGAAGAAGAAGAAGAAGAAGAAGAAGAAGAAGAAGAAGAAGAAAAGAAGAAGAAGAAGAAGAAGAAGAAGAAGAAGAAGAAGAAGAAGAAATAATGTCCCTCTATTATTATCCGTTTCCTTACCTCATGATTGCAGTTTTATTATCAGGCGTGGGAAGGGGAAAAAACGACGGAATCTCCTTTTCTTAAAGGAATGACGATCCCGGTTTTCTTTAAATTTCAGAAAGAGGAGAGGGAACAGGAGAGGATCGGTTGCTCCACACGGCCTCCCGTCTGCTCAGAAAGAAAGAAAGGAAAAACGAAACTTAGGCGATCCAGTGAACTTGGGAGAAACGAAACTAATTTTTGCCCTGCTGAAAGTAAAGTCTGGAGCGGAATCGATTTCCATTTCTTCTGATTTCCGTCATTGTTAATCGCTGTTTAAGGGGATCACGGACAGGACAGGCTGGCTTTTCATGGTTTGGGGTAAATAACGTCAAGATTGGCGAATAAGTCTGGTCTAGCTTAATACACGACACTCTCTTAGTTCAAGGAATGGACGCTGCTTGCATTTTTCTGTGTTAAGTACATGGGGTGGGGGTGGGGACACACACTGCATTGCATTGCACATCTGGGAATATGGCTGAAGATGTTTCTTTTTTTGAGGGTGCATAATCTAAATAACCTTTTGGATGGCTCCAGAAATCTTAACATTTCTATTCTGCTTTTCTTCCAGGCAGTTCTCTCTTCTACATTCCGCCCCCTCCCCAAGCTTTTTCCTGGGAGGTAGATTATGTCTCTTAATGACTTTCCATGTCTTAAGGTTAGATTTAAAGCCATACTTGTACACCACCCAGAGGTATAACATTTAACTGTTATTCTACTAATACTACTGTAAGGTCCGGCTATACGCTTAAGCTCTCAGTGAACCAAAAAGAAAGACTTAAACGGAGGCTTGAATAAGAATCAACATTTAATCTTTGATCAAAGACAAAAGGCTGGGTAAAACCATTCCAAACACATACAAAGAGATATGTATATGGGAGGGTTCACATCTTCAGAGAAGATGTAACTACGTTTTATTCCTTTAAAGCATCAGTTAGATCCCCAACTCTGGCCCCTTAATTTATGTTTGTGTATTCTTTGTTGCCCTGCAAAGGAATCTAAACTTCCAATTAGTCTTATCTTTGTTTACTTAATTGGCCACTTAGCCCCTGGCTCCTGAAGACCAGATCTTATCCAGATCAGGCATAAATTAGGATTGAGATGTAAATTATCCCTCTGTTGATGGCTGGAGTTCCAACAGATACATACCATGTTTTTAGGTGGCACAGAAAGAGATTGATATGAGCAGGTCAAATGGCAGGGACATACGTTTGACAAATACCAGATACATTTCAGAGGCCTAATGACAATATGTTTGTAACAGGAGATACAAATAGAAAGGAATAATATATGTGATACAAAAGCACAATATATATGTTACAGGAACCTAATGATTACAGAATAACAAGCTTTTACTAAATCTAGTATATCAGTATTTTATATTCTATATTATTGTTTCCCTACACTACTGTAATCAAACAACGCCTAGAAGCAAGCAAATTTATAACCAGAAGCCAGCAAGGGTTTGTCAAGACCAGATCATGCCAAACCAATCTTATTTCATTCTTTGACAAAGTGACTAAATTAGTGGACCAGCGAAATGCTGTCAATATAATATACTTGGATTTCAGTAAGGCATTTGACAAAGTAGACCGCAACCTACTTCTTAGTAAACTAGAAAAAGGTGGGATAGATGGCATTCCACCAGATGGATTTGTAACTGGCTGACAAACCACACTCAATATGTAGCCCTTAATGGAACTACATCTACATGGAGGGAAGTGTAGTAGTGGGGTACCCCAAGGGTCTGTCTTAAGCCTAGTACTCAATATCTTCATAAATGAATTAGATGAGGGAACAGAATTCATCAAATTTGCAGACAACATCAAGCTAGCAGGAATACCAGCACCCCAGAAGATAGGCTCAAGATCCAGATGGATCTTGACAGACTTGAACACTGGGCCCTATTTAACAAAATGAAATTCAGTGTAGAGAAAAGTAAAGTTTTACACTTAGGCAAGAAAAAACAAATGTATAGGTACAGATTAGGTGAAACCTGGCTCAATAGTACTAACTGTGAGGGGGATCTTACAGTCCTAGTGGACAATCAATTAAATATGAGCCAGCAGTGTGTTGCAGCCACTAAAAAAGCCAACGCAATCCTAGGCTGCATTAGTAGAGAGGTAGAATCAAGATCACGTGAAGTGGTGATACCGCTGTATAAGGCCTCGGTAAGACCACACTTGGAATACTGCATCCAGTTTTGGTCACCGCAATATAAAAAAAGATGTTGGGGAAAGTCCAGAGAAGAGCAACAAAGATGATTAAGGGGCTGAAGGCTAAAACATATGAACGGTTGCAGGAATTGGGTATGTCTAGTTAAAAAAAAGGACTGGGGTGATATGATAGCAGTGTTTCAATATATGAGGGATTGCCATAAGGAAGAGGGAATCAACCAGGGGTGAAATCCAGCAGGTTCTGACAGGTTCTGAAGAATTTCCGGTAGCGGAAATTTTGAGTAGTTTGGACAACCGGCAAATACCACCTCTGGCTGGCCCCAGTGTGGGGTGGAATGGAGATTTTGCAGTATCTTTCCCCTGCCACGCCCACCAAGCCATACCACGCCCATCAAGCCACGCCCACAGAACCATTAACCGGTAGTAAAAAAAAATTGAATTTCACCACTGTAGTCAACCTATTTGCCAAGGCACCAGAAGGCAAAACAAGAAGCAATAGCTAGAAACTAACCATGGAGAGAACCAACCTAGAACTAATCAGCAATTTCCTGACAGTGAGAACAATAAACCAGTGGAACAGCTTGCCTTCAGCAGTTGTGGATGCTCCATTACTGGAGGCTTTTAAAAAGAGACTAGTAGCCACGCATCTGAAATAGTATGAAGTCTCCTGCTTGAGCAGAGGGTTAGACTAGAAGACCTCCAAGCGGTGGTGGGATTCAGTAGACCAGTTCAGACCAATTCAGGAGAACCGGTTGTTAACTTTCTGAGCAGTTTGGTGAACTGGTTGTTGGAAGAAATCATTAGGGCAGAGAACCGGTTGTTAAATTATTTGAATCCCACCACTGCCTCCAAGGTACCTTCCAATTCTGTTATTCTGTTAAATGCTTGCCCAGAAATCTCTATTAGGCCTAATGGAGACAGGAAAACAGAAGACCTTGGAAAAAGGAGGCTTAGGAAGAGGGTTGATTGTCTATATATCCAAAGGATTGTAAAACAGGTAGTTGTGCACATGTGCATGAAAAAATGTGTAACAGGTCTCTAAACTTTTTGACACACCTTATTTTGGAACCGTGGCCACTCAATAAACGCTACCTCTTGGAAACTGATATTGATTCAAATTTAATTCCTCCGGGAAATCTGGCCCTAAATTTCTTCCAGCACATTGAATTTAAATTAAATTTAAACTTTACATTCTTCTTCAGATGGCTCTTTTGATATGCTCATAGATTTATTTTTATTATACGTGTTGGATTTGCATCTCATCTTTTGTGCCAGACTTCAAGGCAGCTGATGTGAGATTTAACTTTATTAGATCCCACAAGAATCCTGTGCGGTAGATCTGGCAGGGAGTTTCACTGGAATGGGTCTTCCTGTTCTCGGCCCCACATGTACAGATCCGCGGTCTCTGACTGATTTTAAAGGCCACGTGCTTTTGTAAAAATGACTCCTTTTAAACAGTCCCAAATTTTAAATTATGGAAATTTGTGATGAAGAATATGCTCCACAAGGAGTTTTGGTCAGGAAAAGATGAAACATCATCATTTGGTGTTCTTGCATGCATGCAAGATTTGAAAGGAAGACCAATTTTAAGAGTACAATGGCAGCACAGATTCTCCTATTATGTAGTTGTGCAGTGTTGTGATACAAGTACTGAAGGCAATGCTGGTGCCTGTCATCACCGATATACATTTTGTTGCATGGCATCATCGTGATTTGGAACGATGAATGATGATGAATGACAGAAGACCACTGGCAGTCCATGAAGACCAGCTGCCAGGGAGGGGGAGCTTAGCTACTTGTGCAACCACTCGATCCCTTATGATTGTGGTGGTGGTGGTGATTTAAGTCATGTTAATTTTTGTGAGCATTCTTTAGTCTGAATCGGTATTGGTGATGTTGCAACTTAAAGGAAGATGATGCAATAGGTTAGAAGTTCAAAGCGCTAGTGATGCCTGGAGTACGGCTGCAGGCTCAGCTAAGCCTGAAACTACAGGCTAACCAGCTTAACATCAATACCTGGGAAGATACTCGAAAAGATAATCCAAAAACAGATATGTGAACATCTAGAAACAAATAAAGTTATAACGAGAAGCCAGCACGGGTTTGTTAAAAACAGATCATGCCAAGCCAATCTTATTTCATTATTTGACAAAGTGACTAAATTAGTAGACCAGCAAAATGCTGTGGACATAGTATACTTAGACTTCACAAGGCATTTGACAAAGTAGACCACAACCTACTTCTTGGTAAGCTAGAAAAATGTAGGATGGACAGCATCACCACCAAATGGATTTGTAACTGGTTGACAAATCGTACTCGACAAGTAGCCCTTAATGGTACTACATCTACATGTAGGGAAGTAAGCAGTGAGGTAGCACAAGGTTCCATCTTAGGCCCAGTACTCTTCAATATCTTCATAAATGACTTAGATGAGGGAATAGAAGGGGAACTTGCCAAATTTGCAGATGATATTAAATTGGAAGGAAGAGCCAACACCCTAGATCCGTGATGGCAAACCTATGGCACGCGTGCCACAGGTGGCACACAGAGCCATATCGGTGGGCACGAAAGCATTGCGCTAGGTCAACTGCAGTGCACATGAGCGCGCAGGCCAAATGATTTTCGGGCCTTCCGGGCACACTGGAAGTTGGCAAATGGGCCATTTCCGGCCTCCAGAGGGCCTCCAGGCAGGTGGGGAAGGCCGTTTTCACTCCTAGAAAGCCTCTGGAGCCTGGGGAGGGCGAAAAACGGGCCTACCGGGCCCACCAGGCCATCACGTGCCAAAAACAGGGGGAGTATGGGGTGGTCGCACATGCAGGTGCGGGGGGTGATGGGGCGCATTGAATTGTGGGTGTGGGCACACACATATGCGACCCCCCCCGCGTAACCTCCACTTTTGGCACGCGACGGCAAAAAGGTTAGCCATCACTGCCCTAGATCATGGGTGTCAAACTTGCGACATTGTTGCCATCATGTGACATTGTGATTTTTTTCCCCCCTTCATAGAGCTGGGGTGGGCATGGCCTGTGCATGACACATCCAGCCCACAGGCCACCAGTTTGACACCCCTGCCATAGATGATAGGCTCAAGATCCAGATGGATCTTGACAGACAATGAATGGAAACTGATAATTAAGATTCAGCCTGGAAATAAAGAGAAATTTTCTGGCAGTGAGAAGAATCAACCAATGGAACAGCTTGCCTTCAGACCAGGTGTGAAATCCACTTACCTTCCTTACCAGTTTGGAAGCGCATGTGCTGTGGGTGCGCACGCTTCGCTTGTGCATGCACGCATGTGTGCGCACGCTTCGCTTGTGCACGCATGCATGTGTGCGCACAGACCTGCACATGCACAAAACCTTCTGCGCATGTGCAGAAGGTAAAAAAACACATTACTTCCTGGTTAAAACCAGGAAGTAATGACACCCGGACGGGTGGGCAGAGTTTTTCTCCATCATCGCTACCAGATCGCTGAACCACCAGCCAAGATCGTTACCAGACCGGGCGCTCTGGCCCGATCCGGGAGCATTTCACCACTGCTTCAGATGTTGTGGGTGCTTCATCATTGGAGGTTTTCAAGAAGAGACTGGACAGTCACATGTCAGAAATTTTATAGGGCAGGAGTGTAAAATTCACGGTGTCACATTGTCGTCCCGTGACCTATCATAATTTTTTCCCCTTCACTAAATTGGGGGTGGGCATGGCCAGCGCATCACGCATCCGGCCCGCGGGCTGTGAGTTTGACACACTAAGTATAGGGTCTCCTGCTTGAGCAGAGGGTTGGACTAAATGACCTACAAGGTCCCTTCCAACTCTGTTATTCTGTATCTGTTGTGATGAACAATCAAAGCCAGAAATGTAACAACGCCCACCCACACACACACTTTTAGTAATTCCTTACCTTATGATTGCAGTTCTGGTATGAGGTGTGGAATGGAAAGCAACTGGGTTTCTTTTTCCTACAAAATTACTGACTGCTTTGTTTTTTGTTTTGTTTTTTCTCTTAAAACAAAGAGATCCATTAGTTTGCATAGCCTGGTGAGAAGAAAAGGAAACTTAAGAAATCCCCAGCCTTCAGTGGAAACTGAAACTAAACTTTTCCACGCTGAAGGTAAAATCTGGAGCAGAATCGGTTTCTATTGGAATGGACACTGCTTGTTTTTCTGTGTTAAGCACATGGAGGACTCTAATATATCACACGTCTGAAGATTTTTGTAGTTTCTTCCAGATAGTTTAGACAAGTAACTCATCCAGGAGTTATTAATTGCCCAACTAATTAATTACCCAACAAATTAATTTTTGGTGGCTCAGCAGACTGATAGCATTGTGATTAACACCAGCTGTCTGCAATTACTGTAAGCTCGAATCTCATCAGGCTCAAGGTTGACTCAGCCTTCCGTCCTTTCTAAGGTAGGTAAATTGAGGACCCAGTTTGTGGGGGCAATAAGCTGACTTTGTATAAATATACAAAAGTATGAAGGCTATTGCTTAACGCATTGAATGCCAGCCTGAGAAGGGCGGCATATAAATCAAATTAAAAAAAAATACTCTATCACAATCAAACTTTGAGCTGCTAACTGTGTAGGTGTGAGTATATGTACATGATATATGCACACACATACATATACATTCTACTATAAACCTCTTTATATATAAAGCAAGAATTAAAACAACCACACTCAGATAAAAGTCAATCCCAATCACCATATAAAATATATGTGAGTATTACAGACTTTTCTTGCCAATAAAAGTGGTGTAAATTTATTACTAACTTATGTTTCCCCAGCAAGAGCAGTAATATGGTAGCTGTGTTCTGGACATTATTGCACAAGCCAGCATCCATGCCTCTATGAACCACATAAAAGACAGTCAATTCTATGACTTCGAGACAGGAAAGTGAATTTTGAACAGAAATAAATCATTGCAGCAGAATTCCAGGGCTGCTCAGGCCCAGGGAGAACTTAGATTCATAGATTCGCCCATGGGGTACCAAATTGCTTGAATGATCTTCCATTCCAATGTTGTCACACTAGTACAAATTATTTTCAGATGCTTTGCAAAAGAAACCTCTGAGATGCTTCAGCCTTCCAATGTCCGTTTTCAATCTGCATATCCAAATCTAGGTAAAAGGCTTGTTTTGTTTTGTTTTTCAACAAAAAGGAGGCAGGTCACACTGTCAAACATGGATCTTCATAACAGTTCCTTGCAAACAATGCTGAGGCATCTCGACAGAATTTTTAGAGATCTAAAAAATGACATTAGAGAGCTTAACTGCACCACATCATTTGAACCATTTCTGCATCCTGTTTCAGTGTCTTTTCTTTCCTTTCCCTGTGAATACAAGTTGTTTCTAACTTTGAGTTCATTTGCTTCACACTACAGTACTGGAATCCCATCACAATTTACAAAATCATCATGATCACTGAAGCCTTGGTTCACTACAGGCTTTTTAATTTGCTAGGAAGACAGAACGTTTCTGAATGAAAATTCTGTGATTCCTCCCTCCCTCTATTGGAGAAAAAAACAACAACTGTGTAGCAGACTTAGCAACATCTGTTTTAGGCAAAAGGGGAGTGTTGGCACATCTGTCATCTTTTGCTGTGGCTGTTTGGCTCCCCAGCCAACAGTTCTTCATCTCTTTGATCCAGTTCTCCAGTTACCAGATAAACTATGGTTCCATTTGTCCAACTTTCTTGTTTGGCCCGAGTGTCTCTGCTCCCTGGTCCTGGGGACGTGGGTGTGATCTTGGCCAGTCGTGCGCAGCACAACAGTGTCGAACTGAGTACCATAGAAAACCCACAAAGCAGGAAAGATGCAGTGTAGTTGCCAGTTGTATCCACAAGCCAACCTGTAGGGAACACAAAAGATTAATTCACATATTTGGATTAGTTCACATACTTTTGTGGATCAGGGCTCATTGGCAATCAGTTAGCTGGGTTTATACAATGGAAATACGCTTACGGTTTACGCTAGAATCCATGATGTACAAATAATAATAGCACTTAGACTTAACAACACTTCACAGCCCTCTCTAAGCGGTTTGCAAAGTCAGCATACAACCCCCCCAACAATCTGGTTCCTCGTTTTACCAACTTTGGAAGGATGGAAGGCTGAGTCAACCTTGAGCCAGTCAGGATCAAACTCCTGGCAGTGAGCAGAGTTAGTCTGCATTCCGCGTTCTAAACACTGCGCCACCATGGCTCATGGCTAGCATGCCAGCAGCTCTTGAAAATATAAGTTTCCTTACCGTTTACCCTTGCAACAAAACTCTATCCTAGGTTATTAAATGACACATCCATTCAAATTCAAAGGATAGTTACACATCCATTCAACTGGCTTAGATCCTGTTACTCTTTAAGAGGCACTTAAGATGGATATTCTCTTGGATGTTGGGGCCAGAGTATTGATGAGCATGTCCTGCAAAGTATGGTATATTCTGGGGCTCCCCCAAAAAGAATGTTATGTTGTTGGGACTTTTGTTTCCCTTTCAGTGGGACTTATTATATTCTACTTTTATTGCTGTCCCCCCCAACCCTCATTTTTGCAAGCTGAGCAGCCTTATGAAGAGCTTAAATTAATGACTGAATTTATTTATTTATTTATTTATTTATTTATTTATTTATTTATTTATTTATTTATTTATTTATTGGGTCGATTTATATGCCGCTCTTCTCCGGAGACTCAGGGCGGCTTACAATGCGTTAAGCAATAGCCTTCATACTTTTGTATATACCTGCTTAGTAGGGCTTTTGGCCCCCCCTAAGCGGTGTTCTTTTTTTATACAAAGTCAGTTTATTGCCCCCACAATCCGGGTCCTCATTTTACCTACCTCAAAAGGATGGAAGGCTGAGTCAATCTTGAGCCTGGTGAGATTTGAACTTGCAGTAATTGCAGGCAGCTGGTGCTAATTAACAGCACTTTAGTCTGCTGCGCCACCAAGGTGGTGATCCTTGCAGAATCAAAATATTTCATTTCTCCATTCCACCAGATTTCTTCACATTCATAAGAGACAAAATCTCTCTGGAGCAGGAGGGAATAAACCTTCAGCTGCAAAGGCAGATGGTTATGTTAGGCGTATTGGACTTTCCCAAGATGGGAAACTAAGATGGCCCAATAACTAACAGTTAACAGTAACAGATTTGGGAGGGACCTTGGAGGTCATCTAGTCCAACCCCCTGCTCACGCAGGAGACCTGTACTAGGGATTCAAACCACCACTGAGCCACCTAGTCAGGCTATTTATTCTCCTGCAGAGCTTTATTAGTCTCTAATTTTCTAGAAATTGGGATCAAATCACCCAGTATAAGATGCTGCGTATAAGGTGATGCGTGTGGGTGAAAAAAAAGCAACCGTTCTCAGTGGTGTCCATGTTTAAGTGGGCAGAATGGGGGACATAGCATTGTGATGTAGAGCCAGTCCTTTTGCAGATCTGCTGGTGCCAAGCAGAGATGGGATTGCAGTATATCCTTTCAAATGGAGAATCCATCACAAGGTCTGTCCTCCATCTTGCTGGTTTTAAACCTTACCTCTTCCACAGCTTCTGCTGACCCTTCTCATCGATGTCTCGTTAGGACTACAAATCCCAGCATCCTTCATCAGTGCACCATGTGCACAAGGAGCATGCTTTTCTGAAAACGGCTGATTGGTACCTGAAAAGTCTGCCGATTCTGCTCCCTGTGTCTAAATGCTTTCTTATATAACATAAACAGCAGGAAAGGACCTGCTGATTCGACATAATTTAAGTGTGATGCATACTTCTGATTATCTTGGCAATGTTTCAGGGCCTTGGCGCAATTTCCTTTTTGGAAGAAAAGAAGGCGTACAGTACAGCAAGCCTGGACAGAACATTAAAAAAAGATTATGAAGAAAGGAGACATACAAAATCCCTTCTCCTCTTTTATAATAAAAAATGGGGATGGGTCTTCTTCCAGACTTGTGTGGCTTTCAAGTCCTGGGGCAGGGGGGAATGAAGCGAAGTGGTGGTGCACACAGAAACAAATAGAGACAACCAGGAACAGCTTTGAAGCAGCTTTTTAAGCCATTAAAAAAGACTTGACTGCTTTAACAATTTGGAGATAGACTGGTCTAGATCAGGCATCCTCAAACTACGGACCAGATATGGCCCGCCAATGCAAAGTATCCGGCCCGCGGAGTGGTGTGATTAAGCCCCGCCCCTTGCCCCGTCCCTCACCATGTCGGCCAGCTGAGGGGTGATCTCGCAGTGCAGCCTTGAAAAGCAGCTCTGGGATGGTAAAGTACTGCTTTAAATTAAAAGTCTTTGAAAACAATTTAAACAGCGTAGGAAAGAGAAAGGCAAAAAAAATGGACTGTTAAATTGGCCACGGCCACCCAGTCACATGACCACCTAGCCATGACCACCCAGTCACATGACCACCTAGCCACGCCCGCCCACCCAGTCTGGCCTCCCCAATAGTCTGAGGGACTGTGAATCGGCCCCTTGTTTTAAAAGTTTGAGGATCCCTGCTCTAGATTGTTACACTTTTTTTTAAAAAAGGAGTTCATAGATTCAGAAAACAGAAAATGACCTTGGCAATGAAAGGGTGAAACAGAGCCAAACTATGGTAGTAAGTAATAAAACTGTTCGTCATATTTCAAATTCATCAAAGTCCTTAAAGTACTGCTGACAGAAGAGCAACGATAGTGCATATAATTCCTTTCCCATATTTTCCAGGCGGCTGGAGAAGAGATAAGAACACTCTGCCCTCTAGTGTTGAGTTTATGAAAAATCACACTTTTGATTGATTTTGTCCAAAGAACTGGGCATCAATCTGTTTTGGGATCTATTATTTCATGTGTGTTCATTTATAAGTACATACAGTCAGTTGTGTATTATTTTAAAGATTCCCTTAATATATTCATATAGGCAGCTTCAGAGATTCATGAGCTCCACAAAGGTCCTTCGGTGATGTTCAGAATGCCTTCCAAACTCTCTCAGTATGTTGGTGAAAATCAAAGATGGAATTGTGGTGTATCCTTTCAAGTTGACTTTACATAGTTGAAAATGGAAAGAAATTTTTCCTTCTTAGTCCCCCAAAATATGGGATAAGTCATTCATGGCATCACTTAATTCAATGGGGATAGAGATGTACAACATTCTAATGATATCTCACTCGTGGGGGATGTATAGACTGACCAAGTTGCCTCATGTAAGATATTAAAAAGGAGAGGAGAAAGCATTGAATCCTGTGGCACCCCACATAATAGGGGCAAAGGACAGGATCTCTCCACCCCAATCATCATCAACTTGAATCGACCATCAGGAAAGGAAGTGATCCACCGTATTCCCCACCCCCAATCTCTGAAGTACACCATGGTTGATGTTACTGAAAGTCACTGAGAGGTCAAGAAGGGCAAGGATGGATGCACAATATCCCATGCCAGTGATCATCCATGAGTATGACCAATGTGTTTCCATCCCATACTCAGATCTGAATCCTGACTGGATATCCATTTTTCATCACTGTTCTAACCAATACAGCACTTGCCTATACCAAAACACATTAATTTTTACTTTTTTAACTTAACAGTGTTACATTTTTATCCCACCTTTCCAAGATTCTGAACGATTTGCAATAAGAGCAATAAAGTAAAATCAGTCAATCACTACAATCTACCTTACTAGCTAGAAAACCAAAAATAAATATATATATATAATACAATGAACCAATCTGGACACCAAACCAGGCAGCCCAACAGCCTAAATCTCTAAAGATCCAATGTAAGGTAAATAGTTGACCATATTTCTAAAAAGCCAGTGGCCCATCTGACCTTGAGAGGCTGATCTTGCCTAATTGTGGATCCACAATAGAGAACATCTGCCTCCTGGATTCTAAACAGGGTGGGAACTTGAAACAACAAACTCTGAAAAACGGAGCAAAGTGAAGGATTTGTGTTCGGAGGGAGCCTCAAATGGTTAATCACATTAGCCCTTTGAACTGCATTCAGAAACTGACTAACAACCAATGAAGATTGTAGATGGGGATATTGAAGTAGACAAGCTTTTCCCCTTTAAAAAGACGCATTATAGTGCTTGTTCAACGAAGTAATCTATTTGCTGGGGATCAGCAATCTTGGAGAAGAGGAATCAAAAAGAGAGATAAGGAAGAGATCTGGAAGACATTCCTCCTTGTGGACAGTAGATTGTGAGGTACTAGACCACTGGCAGAACTGATGCCCTGTCTGAAGCACTGCTTCTCGTTGGTTGATGTGCTGATCATGGTCATCCTGCAGGGCTCCCATCATATCTCAAAATGTTTTGATGAAAGTTGTCAGTCCAGTAGGTTTTCCAAGGGGCAATGTTCCCTTTTCTTGAGCAACTCAAACATAGTGTTATGTTGTCTCCACGTGCTTTATTTTTAGATGCAGTCTTCTCCATCTGGAGAGTTGGACACATCCTGATTGTCTTCAATAACACTGTTGGCTTTGGTTCATCAATCCCAAAGTCTATTGATGCAGCCTCACAACCTGTGACACACCTGTCCTGCATATACAAATATTGTTCACTGAAACAGAACTGACTTCTTTCTACTTGTCCAATTGATTCCACCACCCACCCATCCTGTACACACACCTGTCTACAGGAACTCTGTCCACTTGTGGTCTTACCACCTGTTCTCTGTCCAAGAGATAGTCTGGGCAGTGGTGAAATCTAAAATTTGTTACTACCGGTTCTGTGGACATGGCTTGGCGGTGGTGGGGGTAATGTGACTGGGTGGGCATGGCCAATTTCTTTTTTTAAAAAAGGGTTTTTTTCTTTTAAATGCCTCTGACGATCCAAGCTGAGTTGCCTAATCAGCAAAGGCTTTTCTCCTTTTAAAAGCCTTTGACGATCCAAGCTGAGCCGCGCGATCATCAGAGGCTTTTTTTTTTACTTTTAAAAGCATTTTTTTCGGTTGTAGAAAAAATGCTTTTAAAAGTAAAAAAAAAAAGCTTCTGATGATTGTGCGGCTCAGCTGGGCATGGGCGGGGGGCAGGGATTTTTGCTACCGGTTCTCCGAACCACCCGCCTTCATCGCTACCGGATTGGGTGATCCGGTCCGAACCGGGAGCATTTCACCCCTGAGTCTGGGGCACTTGTTGGCTGGCAGTTTGAAATCTAGGTGTGCAGAATGATAATCACATTTCATATATTATATAACTGCCTCAGGCTCTCGGATGCTACCGGTATAATCCTTGTTCTACATAGGATTCCAATTAATGTGGCAGTTTCCTGCCTTGTCCTTCTGACTTTGGGTAGGAGCTTGTACCTGTGATCCTTATGGAGTGCTTTAATCTTTTCTTCTCAAGTTTTTCTTCATTCCTTACATTCAGAAGATGACATGCCTTCCCATTAGCTGGGCTCTTTCATTTGCTCTCTCTTGGCAAGGCCTTAGGAGTGGATCCCCTTTGTTGAGTCTCTCTGGATGCCTGCAGCGTTCAGTTTCTCCTTCTGGCTCTGACTGCCATCTAACTTCAGGCACAGATCACCTTGACCTTGATTCCTTCTTTGCTCATCTCGACATGTGCAACAAGATCTGACCTTTCAAGGTTATTTGGGTTTTCCCTCTCATCAAAATAAGCAATGCTGCATATTTGAATAATTTGGGTGGTGAGATCAACAATTCTTGTATGCAGCAAATATCCAACCAGCACTCCATCCTCACATCTGTAATTCAGTTTGATTCTCTTCTTTTTATGGGACACGGGGAAAACCTTAGAACCAAATATTCTCGTGTATTGTAATCAAAGCTGGGCTTTCTTCCATGCCATAGTTTATATGGCAGTATCTCAGCACCTTGACTGGGAATCTGTTTTGCAGTTAGATAGCTGTATTGACTACGTCTCATGAGGACAAGAAGCAACAGATAGAAACTAATCAAGGAGAGAACCAACCTAGAACTAAGGAGAAAATTCCTGAGAGTGAGAACAATTAACCAGTGGAATGTATTGTCTTAAGAAGTTGTAGGTGCTCCATCACTTGAGGTTTTTCAGGAGAGATTGGACAGCCATTTGTCCAAAATGGTATAGGTATAATTCTCATTCAACTGGGTGCTCACTGAAGAATGGCAGAATAGCAGATGTCGGATTAGGAAAGAGGGTGTCAGCCCTGGAGCCATCTTTTGTATTAGGCCTTCAGACCTGCCACGTTTACTACTGTGGGAAACTGGGAGGGGGGATTGTGTTGAGTATGGGTGATATATAGTCATAATAACATTTCTTTCTCAAGAAGTCAAGGACAATTTGCCCTGCACCTGGAAGGCTGGAGCTAGGAGGCATCTCCAGGTGGGACAGTGTCTCTGGTTGGATCATGTGATGGACTTGTGGGTGTTGGGCAGGGACTTGAACTTTTCTTTGGGTGGAGAAATCCTGAAAACTTTCAGATTCGGGTTTTTCCAGATGTGCCAATATGACATCTCTAATAAAATGTAACTTTGAGGAAACTCAAGCCTCGCAGTTTTCTTTCATTGGAGTTTATTGGGAAGAGAAAGCTTGCACATGAAGGGGATGGTTGGCAGATGAAATGGCTAAAATGGATTTAGACAGCTCTAGTGGTGATTGAAGATGTACTGATGGAGATAAACCGACGGTTTTAATCCAGGAGAGATACGGTTGACAGAACTGAATGAAACCATATTCAACAGGTGTATATAAACAGATCTGTATATTATTCTGATTCACTCCTCTATACTGACCTGCAACAGGTGGGCTGACCAGGTAAGGGACTGCATGAAGGAAGTAAATAATTCCAAGGGCGGAGGATAAGGAAGCAGTCCCCACAACATCTGCTGTCACCACAGGAATTAGAGTGATGTAGGCTCCGTCAAAATAGCCAAAGGTGAAAGAGAAAGGCAACAGGAGTGGAAAGCTTTGGAGAACCGGAAGGAAGAGGCAACAGAGACCATCCATTGCCACTGCAAAGAGGTAGCAAACATAACGGTACTTCTTCAAACACCTGAGAGGGAAGAGTCAAGAAAAGAAAGGAGAGAGTTAGTTGTAATGAGAACCTCTTTCTTCAAAGGGGTGGGAGGGGGAGTCCTTGATGGTCTTGTGGTTCCACCTTTTATTCTTTTTTCCTATGTTTGGCTTACACAGATTTTTTTTTCTTCTGACAGGCTAGCTATCATTTCATTCAAATAAAAAGCAACAGCTGCTTTTCAGGTTATACTCTAACACAAATTGCAGTGTCTTTTTTCTTTTTACAACTCTTTTATTGGGGTGGAGTGAGGGCAACTGAATGGAACTGAATGTTTACTGTCCGGATGCCCTTCCTGACACCTACGCAGAGTTCGCAACAGATAGTTTCTTTTTGTTCCCTGATAAACATCTGTCACTGCCTAGGATTGAACTCTCAACCTTCCAAGTGAGAGGTAAGCATCTTCACTCTAGGGCCTAGGCCCTCATGCCACTCACTAAATTGTAGCATCTATTTTTAGAAATTAAACATTATCCATTTGCTTTATTCCTTTCTGGGATAAAATAAAATCAGAATTATAACTGATTTGGGGGAAAAAATCAGTCTGGTAGCTTGTGGAAATGCTGCCATTCTTCCAGAAAAAAAATCATGGAAAAATTCTGTCCCTTTCCTGTTCTGCCTACTTTCCTCCCTAGCTGCTGCTTGATCTTTCATTTTTCCTTTATAAATTTAATGGGTTTCATTGTGTAGCATTCCCAAATCTAGAACCTGTCCGATTAGTATTGGGTCGGCAATTTTCAGAATTCCAACTATCAGTGCTGACTAAGAATATTACATTTAATCTCTTATTTTATCATGAGGGCACCAGGCTAGGGAAGGCTGAAACAAAATGTTTGGTATCCCTTTTTGCAGTCTAAAAGGCTTCGAAAGAGACTCACGGAAAGGTTTAAAAGAACCAAAGTATTCTAGTAAAAACAATTTACAGGTCTGTAAATGCTAAGTTCATAAAAAGCCTAGCACTAACAAGACTCTTGTGGTCATGCTTGAGAGAGAGTTCTGATATCCCACAAACACATTAGGCTTATCTCTAATGTCCTGTTTTACACTTGGTTAATGAGGATTTTAAAAAATGTTTGTAGCTCAAGATCGAAATGAGAGGTGGTCCTTGGAGGTCTCTGAGCTTGGTTGTTCTCTTGCAGATGTTTCATTATTCAAATTAGGTACCATCATCAGTGATGGTCACTGCCTACAGTTTGCCAACTAAATGTGGAAATGTCATTGCAAAGGGTTGACTTCCTTCTTCCTACTGAATGCATCCTGTTCCAACGGCTGATTGACTTATGGCTACTGTTTGGAAGGGAAACCAAATGCAGAGCCTTATGTGATCATTAATTCAGGAAACTGTGATTCCTACTTTGACAAAGGGAACATTTGATTTGTGGGAAAACTGCAGCTTCTCTTATTCCACATTTCAGCCCTGGCTGTGGACTATATGCACACATAAAGCCCACACCCATCAAAAGGATGGTTTGAGCCTTCAAAGAAAAATAATAGTATGAGAGCAAAGAAAAACAAAAAGGAATTACTGTATTTTTCGGAGTATAAGATGCCCCGGACTATAAGATGCACCTACCTTTTTTAGGGAGGAAACAAGAAAAATAATCTGCCTCTGCCTCTGCCTCCCAGCAATTTGCCTCCTTGCAGCAAACAGCCTGTTTCAGTTTCAGTTTCAGAACAGCCTGATTAGCACAAGAAAAAAATCTGCTCTGCCTCCCAGCAATTTGCCTCCTTGCAGCAAATAGAGGAGGCCAAAAATGGGGCACACGGATGTGGCAATAGGCAATGGCAATCCCTGCAGCCTGAAACAGCTGATGGTTGGGAGGCCGATCCAACTGACAATCAGCTGCTTGTGCTAATCAGGCTGTGCTGAAGCTGAAACTTGAAACAGGCTGTTTGCTGCAAGGAGGCAAATTGCTGGGAGGCAGAGGCCAAAGGGTGGGGGCTGGTGGGTGGGCGGGGCTACATTCGGTGTATAAGATGCACCCAAATTTTCACCCACTTTTAGGGAGGGGAAGTGCATCTTATACTCTGAAAAATACAGTAACTGCATCAGGTTGTAAGCGAGACCATCACAAATCATGCCCCTTAAAGCATGGGTGAGGGTAGCTGGGTGACTGGGATGAGGTGTTAAATCAATTTTTAAGCTGTCTGAGTGACAGGTCACTGTACAGACATGCTTCACAGAGCATTCAAACCCTCAGGGTTCTTTTAGAAGATGGGAAACATTTACATTAGAAGGAGAGAGCAGTTGGGGACGACTTTAGGTTGGATCTGAGAATAATACAAAGGCTGCATCACAAAGAAATGTCTTCTGCAAACAGCTCCTGGCACGCAAGGAGAGCATCCAAGTGCTTATTGCCTTGAACCATCTCCTTCTCCTGCACAGCCCTCTTACCTTTGATCCGTCAGCCATCCAAAAGTAATATTGCCAATGATGTCAATGACTCCGAGGATAGACATGAGAAAAGCCGCCTGTTGGTGGCTGACTCCGACACTTAACGAGTAAGGCACCAGGTAAACAAAAAGTGGACTACAGCCGTAAGCCATGAATAAGATGGACACTGCAAGCACCACAAAGTCTGGGGTCAGTACGAAGTTGTACTCCTGCTGCGAGCAGCGGCACACCCACTTGTGAGACCATAGCTTGATCACGGGGGAACAGAAAGACCACTGCTTGAAGTCTGGCTTTGGCGCTTCCAGCTCAAGCTCAGAGAATTCCAGCATGTTCTTCTGGTCCTCTTTTCCGGCAATTGGCCTCATTAAGGCACCACAGACACAGAGGTTCAAAACAAAACCGCCCAGGATGAGCAAGGCGCCGCGCCAGGAAAAATGCTCAATCAGAAGCTGGACCACAGGAGCCAGGATGAAGGTCCCAATGCCGCAGCCTGACATGGCGATTCCATAGGCCAGGGCTTTTCTCTTGTGAAAATAGTTGCCCACCATTGCTACGGCTGGAGAATACGAAAGAGCAAACCCCAATCCTGAAAAGAGAATGACACACACATACACAACATTCAGAAGATAGATTAACTGCAGCAATCAAGAGGGAATGAGTAGTGAAACACTGTACGAATCTGTTAAGTTTCTCAAAAATTATCCTTCCTATTTTTTTATTTATTTTTGATTTGATTTATATGTCGCCCTTCTCCGGAGACTCAGGGTGGCTTACAATGCGTTAAGAAATAGCCTTCATACTTTTTGTACATTTATACAAAGTCAGCTTATTGCCCCCACAATCCGGGTCCTCATTTTGTATTAATCTGCCTTTTAAAATATCTTTATGACAACTGAGTTGAAATAGAAGAGTGAACTAGTAGTTTTGCCAACATTAAATCTTAAAAACCAGCAGGAAGGCAGTATGTTTTCTTTTGGTTTACTATACCTAAGGCTAAACCTCCAACTTATACATCACAGTTGAAACCTACTATTCCATCTATCGTCTATTAATTGGTTCATCTAAGATACCAATCATTAATACATCTAAATGTGATTTTGTTATATTGTACTATATTAATTTATTTGATTCTTTTTGTTAGTTTTTATTGTTTTAAATACGGTTTTATATTCTGTAATCCGCCTTGAGTCACCATGGCCAAATAGGCGGCAATATAAATTCAATCAAGTAAGCAAGCAAGGAAGGAAGGAAGCAAGCAAGCAAGCTTTGGGTTCCATAAATACTTCGTTTCTCATAATAAATCCCGTTAAAAATCCCGGGTCACGGCTCACTACTGGGCCGTGTCCTATACAGAACCGGGCTGCATGTGTGGCGAGCTGGTGCATGCGTACACATGCACAGCTCAACTTACACAAATTGAGATGCGTGTACATATGTGTGCACCTCAGCCTGCCGCTCACACGGACTGGTTCCCCTCTCCCCTTCCTCTCCAGCCAGGCCGGCAAGACACAAAAGTTGGGGACCGCTGCTCTATGGATATTTTAGAATGTCATCAATAAAAAGAACAGATGCATTTACAGACAATGCTCCCAACCAAGGTTGATGGAGAGGTGTTGGCCCAACACATCAAATATCCATCATAACACAGGATTTTTGTTCCTTGTATAAACAGGCTCTTGGCAGCATTTCAGTGCAATATTTCTGCAAAATTGTTATTAGATAGCAGGGGTCTAAGCAGTAAGCTCACATCACTACAGCTACAATGCAGGCTTGAATAAGTCAGCAATTTTAGCATAAACATTTCTATTGGGAAATGTTCATTTTGAATTGGGAGAGAACAATGGGAAACTTTAGTTTTGTTCTGTTTTTAAAAGGAAGGACTCAATTCATTGGGAACGAGACTCTGGACAATACAGTCTGCCACAAGTAAATATAGTAAATATATAACCATTAAATGTTAAGCCTTCACATATACCCAGATGAAAAACAGCAAACCTAAATTTTAAATTCCAAAATTAAGATTTTGTCACGACTCAAATGTGAGTATTATTTTCCAGACCTAATTTTAGTTCCAGTCCAAGTTTCTTTATATTCCTTTGCTGGTTTTGTTCAAAGTATCTATAAAATCTCTTTTCTCTTTAAATTCTTTCTTGGATGTCAAGTCAAATACCATTTTTTTTTTTTTGCAATCAACCAGCAAAAAAAAGCTTTGAAGAGTAAAATTACAACTGTGCCATTACTTTTTGATCACTAGGCTAAATGACAAAAACATGATACGACTACAGCTAATTTTATAAGTTTAAGATTTTAAATATCTAAAATAATTTTCTTGAAGGTAACTCCCACTGGTTGGCTTTGTATAAACATTCTCTCTTACTCAATTCCCAAACTGTAACAGGGAAATTACAGTAGCCTAATTCAAATATCTAATGACGTGGCCCCCAACCTTTAGGGCACCAGGGACCGGTTCAGTGGAGAGAGGTTTTTCTATGGATCAGAGGGGGCATGGTTTTGCGTACTGCCTGCATTCTGCGGATGGGGCTTTGCTTGTTTGTGTGGCCCAGTTTCTAGCATGCTGCGGACTGGTGGCGGTCCACAGACCGGGGATTGGGGACCCCTGATCAAGCTGTAATCCTAAATAAATAAATTCAAGTGTAAATTCTGCTGAACGCAGTTTGATTGTATCCTAAATTCATGCACAGGATTACACTCCCATGCATTGTATACTGCAGATAATAGAACAACAACTCTCATTAATGCGTGTGTAAACAATTATATCCGTGCCAGAAAAAATACCTGTAAGAATGCCCAAGGAAAGGTAAAGATGCTCCAAGGTGGTGGCAAAGGAACTCAAGATAAATCCAGCAGATGCAAGGAGTCCTCCAAGCATGATTCCCACTTGGCTAGAGACATGATTGCTGATGAAACTCCCAAGAGGAGCTTGAAATGAAAAGAAATAGCAACAGGACTTAGACTTATATACCATTTTACAGTGCTTTACGGCTCTCTCTAAGCAGTTTACAGCATCAGCATATAGCCCCCAACAATCTGGGTCCCCATTTTATTGACCCCGGAAGGATGGAAGGCTGAGTCAACTTTGAGGTGGTCAGAATTGAACTGCCGAATTGCAGGCAGCCAGCAGAAGTGGCCTGCAGTACTACATTCTAACCACTGCGCCACTTTCATACCAGAAAAAAAATTATTTCATTTAAAGCCGTGCCAAAGCTTCATTTACTTTAACTGTCCCCTTTACCTTCTGCTGGAATTTTTAAACAATTTTTTTTTGTTCCTCCAAGAGGAGGAGGATCTCTTTTCCATAAAGTTCAAATGGGCAGAGAAATATAATTCTTATGTTTAATATTAAATAAATTTTAAAAAGAGCACCTTTCAGAAGTTTAATTTAAGATGATTGGAGAATACTGGCAAAGCTTTAGTTTCACATAGACAAAGTGACTCACAGAAGCCTATCCCAGGTGGGCATAATGGTTGTATAGCTGGAGTCTATCTGGGGATACACAGATTCAGGTTACTCCATAGCAGGGGTGAAATGCTACTGGTTCGGAGCGGTTCTCCCAAACCGGTAGTAAAAATGCTACTGGTTCGCCCGAACCGGTAGTAAAAAAAATGCTTTAAAAAATTTTTTTTAAGCTCCAACAATCGCGCAGCACAGCTGATCGTCTGAACTTTTTTTTTCGCATTATTTTACCACCGGTTCGGGCGAATAGGTAGTAAAAAAATGCTTTAAAAAAGTAAAAACCGACAATCAGCTGTGACAATCAGTTGTGCCGCTCGATGGTTAGAACTTTTTTTTTTACTTTTTAAAGCATTTTTTTTACTACCTATTGCCCGAACTGGTATTTTTGTGTAAAGTGTGATAGTTTGTTTTTGAGCTCTCTGTGACTTTGTGAGGTTCCTGCTTGTTGCAGGAGCCATTTTGTGTGAAGTCCAGCTGCTTTTGCACTGTGTGTGAGTCAGTTGTGTAGCTTTTGTGTTATTTTTGTATAAAATGGGATAGTTGGTTTTCCCAGTCACATGACCACCAAGCCATGACCACCCAGTCACATGACCACCAAGCCACACCCACCAAGCCATGCTCACAGAACCAGTAGGGAAATTTTTTTGAATTTCACCACTGCCCCATAGCCATGCAGCTCATTTGGTGACTGAACCAATCATTCTTCATTTAATGTAAAAATAAAGAAAAAATAGCGTGTGTAGATAGTTATAGGTACACAAAAACTGAATTCCTGGAGGAAAGACAAGTTCTAACTGTAATTCATAAAGCAAGTAGAAGTAGTTCTCAACTTACGACCACAATTGAGCCCAACATTTCCATTGCTAAGCGAGACAGATGTTAAGTGAGTTTTGCCCCATTTTGTGACCCTTCCTGCCTCAGCTGTTAAGTGAATCCCTGCAGTTGTTAAGTTGGTAACATCAGTGGTCCCCAACCTTTTTATCGCCGCGGCCCGCTGAGCGCACGCAGGGGTGGGGGCACGGCCCAGGAGCTTTTGCGCACGGCCCATTGCGCACGGCCCAGGAGCTTTTGCGCACGGCCCAGGAGCCTTTGCGCTGCAGCGTTCATGTCCCCCGGCCGCTGCGCGGCCCGGTGCCAGGTACTCCACGGCCCGGCACCGGTCCGCGGACCGGGGGTTGGGGACCACTGGGTAACATGATTGTTAAGTGAATCTGGCTTCCCCATTGACTTTGCCTATCAGAAGCAGACCCCTGCAACTGTCATAAATATGAACCAGTTGCCAAGCATCCTGATTTTGATCATGTGACTATGGGGATGCTACAACAGTCATAAATGTGAAAAACGGTCACAAGTCACTTTTTTCAATGCTGTTGTAACTTTGAAAGGCCACTAAATGAATGGATATAAGTCAAGGAGGTAGGTTTCTCTCAGGTCCACAATAATTCACTTTGTTTTAGCCTTTTCCAACTGCAATTCCCCAAATTTCCAATTAACAATTCTGGGAATTGAAGTCTAAAACACTGAGTTAGGAAAGATTAAATCAAGAGCTGGGTCTATTTGGTTCTAGTTATTTGGGACTAAGCATAAGGAGGTTATACATAATACAAAACAGCAGAAATATAAGCGTTACTGGATGGCGGATTGCATCACATGCCATGTAATACAGGGGTGGGTTCTAAATTTTTTTACTACCGGTTCTGTGGGCATGGCTTATTTTGTGGGCATGGTCTGATGGTCATGTGACAATTCTTTAGGATTTAGCAGAGGTACTGGTCTACCAGGCTTTTAACTGCTTGCAGAGCCGTACCGGTCTACCCATTTGTTTTTGGAGCATTCCGGTCTACCTATTTGTTTATGGAGCGCACTGGTCTACCACCACACTGCCTTTTACCACTGATCAGCTGTAGGGCGGCCCTTTGAAGTGCCGTGGCAAGAGTTTAAACAGTTTTTTTCCTTCTAGCCAATCAGCTGGGACTCGGGAGGCAGCAAATAGATTGGGGCGGGGCCAGGCAGAGGTGGTATTTAAATTTCCACTACCGGTTCGCAAGAACCGGGGAGAACCGGTAGCAACCCACCACTGATGTAATACTGTACAGTACATAAATACTTGCCACACAACATAGTAGCACAGTCTACAATGGAATGGATCCAAGCTGTCCGGGCATAATCTTGTGCAAAATAAGTCTGGAATTCCACAAAAAATATTGAGATACATCTGAGGAAAGGAAAAAAAGAAAACTTATCATCGGATACGGTACCATCAGAGTGAAAGTTTAGATAGAAATTGACCGAAGATCTACTAATTCTAGAACTAAGCCAAAATCTCTAAAAAGATATGCATGTTTAAAGATATGGAGATGGTTTCTTCAGCATACAAATCTTGCAGTGTACAATATCTGCAAATCCAGCCTCCATATCAATCATCATCTTGAGATAACAGCAGCAACAAACATATCTCTAAATGCAATTATTTTCACACAGATTGAACAAGCGTATGTAAATTTAAGAACAAGGGTTACTTCTGGTTTTTGGCAAAAAATACCCAGTAGTTGAACAATGGATTCACTTTACGACTGCCATGTTTGTTTTACAACCAGATTTGCTTAACTGCCATCACAAAAAAAATGTTGTAAAATCAAGTCAGTGAAATGATGACCCACTTAACAATTGAAATTGCCAGGCTTAATTATGGTTGTAAATCGAGGAAGTGCTTATAATGATGAAACTATACAATGCTGGGAGATTTCTGTCATTAGCAGGGAAGACAGAGGTTGAGGCCTTGTTTTCAATGTTATAATTATACAAAATAAATAAATGGAATCAACTAATATGAATGGAGAGCTATGATAAGAAAAGAACAGATAAAGTCAAAATTTGACCGGAGTAACGTGAGGAATACAAATGGCAAAGGAATTCATCTTCCATATTCAGGAAGTGCCAATCCTGCCATTTGACAAATTAAAAGTTACACGTGTTATGGATTGGAGAATATTTTTTTTTAAAAAAACAGCAATTGTCACACTTTAGACTTCATCATTGTTTTTCCAATTTGGAGGAATTTACACTGGAGTGGTAAGTTCTATAATGATACTGTCAACTTCGAATTGAACCTGGCAGAAGCCATTTTTCTATTCTTCAGTTGCCACACAGAAGGGGGAGGGGGGAGGATGAAATACGTTGCTGGACAAAACACAGAACTTTCTCGTGGTAACCAAGGTCATTTCTACAATGGTGGATAGAGATGGGGAAGGAGTCCCTGGAAAGCCCACCAATTAACCTAATTGGTCAACATGACCTGTGACTTTTGGGGAGGGAGTTATTTCCTATTTTAATTACACTGAAACCTCGGGAAACATTTAGAGTTGGTTTTCCATTTGATCGTGCGGATATGATGTACCCAATGAAGAAGTTCTTGGAGGAAAACCTCAGCCTCAGAGTTCTGATTTGCTTGGGTTTGGGATCTTGACAGATAATGTTTACCCTCGCAACATTACCCAGTAGTCATGTGAAAATAATTATAGTCACAGTAGTTATTGTGTTCAAGTGGAATAGTAACCAGACACTAAACAATATTGTTACCAGTATAGGAAAAGTACTTGGAAACTGAAAAGCAAAGGAATCAGTCATAGTCTTAACTGCTTGATTCTGAGCACTGTATAGTGTTTCAGCTACAAGTATTTTCACATTTGGCAGCAGTAAGTACAATAGTATGGATAATTAAACTTTATTCCATGGCGGTATGAGAAGCAAGAAAAAATAATAGAATACAACTCAGAAAATATATAATTAAGAAGCAATAAAATACAGTTTGTACAAAGAGTATAATACAAAGAAGAGAGAAAAAGAACCTTACGCTCCCTGCTACTCAGGAAACACTGAGGATGATCTTCCATCTTCAATCTACCAAGTGTATTCCCTCACCCAGGTTAGATCTGCAGATAGGTTCTGGTTTGTATACAGTACATCACTGACAATAATCAATTACACCGGTCATTTCAGTAGAAGGAAAGACAGAATCGCCTTGAAGAACAGGAGGAAGAGCCATCATCAAGGCAATGGTCAGATAAAAGAGTTTGAGCCAGAGACAAGAAGTAATGAGAGCATAGAACTATCTTCCCTAATTCACACAAAGATAAAGGGAGAGATGGAGGAAGCCCATTCAGATTCCATTACTATAATTTACAGCAAAAAAGTAATAAATGGTATTGGATTCCTACTATGGTCTACTTGGAAGGTCTGATAATAAATGTTATCATACATGTAATATATGTGCTAATTAGCACAGCCTAATTAGCACAAGTTGATTGGATCAGCCTCCCAACTCTCAACTGTTTTGCTCTTAGTTGTTTTGCGCGGGCCTCTGCTACTTGCTGCAAGGAGGTAAATTGTTGGGAGCAGATTTTTTTTTCTTGTGCTAATCAAGCTATGCTGAAAACGAAAATGAAAGTAAAGCAGGCTATTTGCTATTTGCTGCAACAAGGCAAAATTGCTGGGAAGCAGAGGCAGATTTCTTTTTCTTGTTTTCCTCACCAAAAAGGGTAGGTGACTCTTATAGTCGGGAGCGTCTTATACTCTGAAAAATATGTTAATAGCCAAGGACAGAGAATATCCAGATTTTTCATGCCAAGGACAAGATAAGAAACTTAAACAGAATAAACATTTGAGGGTTAATAGTATGTAGATCTGAGATGCTCTTTGTTCAATCCTCTCCTCTCCCACCTTAATGTACTTTACTTGGAGTGAATTTAGTTGGAGTAAAAGTGAACCTCTTCTACTGTTCTGCTTTGTTTTTGCTTTGATAAGTGCCTTGTATGCTTTTTGAGAGAAATGTTAATTATGCTTCATAAAATGAAGGCTAAAAAAAGCTGAGGAGGAAATAGCCAGATCTTTCCCCCTAGAAGAATTACTCTTGATGTCTGTCCTCAAGATGAAACTGTTCCTATTGCTGAGATTCTTGGAAATCAAGATGAAATGCCTCCAGTATGGTCAACCTTAATTCAATCTGTGGCTCAGAATCCTCAAGATTAGTCAATTCCACCCAAACGGTAGATAAATTACAATCAATGTGTAACCCTATTTTTTATTTCATTTATTTATTTTTATCCCGCCTTTATTATTTGTATAAATATCTCAAGGCAGCAAATCTACATAATACTCTTTCCTCCTCCTATTTTCCCCACAACAACCCTGGGAGGTGAATTAGGCTGAAAAAAAATTGATTGGCCCAAAGTCACCCAGATGTCTAAGGCAGGACTAGAACTTACAGGGTCTTGGTTTCTAGCCTGGTGTCTTAGCCACTGGACCAAACTGGCTTTATGGTAAATTATTCTATGGTTGTAAGGTAACCTTATGGTAAATTATGAGACAATTAGGTTCATAAAGATACTGGCATAATAGTTAAAATATTCCCGCTCTGGATTTCAACATCGCATCCTCGTTTCATGAAATTATATGAATACAATGAAAGCTCAAATTAACAAATTCCAAGTAGAGCCGGAGAGCGTGAAATCAATAATTGATCGTTCTCGTGAACCCTGGCTGAAGGCAGCAGAAACTGCAGTTCAAAACTAAGTAAGGAACTTACATCTGCATGATAACGTTTCAATTAAACTACAAGGAGAGCTGACCAGCAGAAATGTAAAGATATTCCTACAAATAAAGAGCCCACAAGCTGTCCACTTCTCTTTGTTTTCATCCCGGTCATTATAAATCCTCGCCCGCGACTTTGAAGCAAAGGACAAGATTAGTAAAATAGAGCAAAGTTTCATGGACCCCCAAGGTTTACCTGGTCACAGCTCGAGTGCAGATCGTAACAAGGAAGCAGCCAATCACAATCATCCATCCCCATCCGCCATCGGGAGGGGAGGTACTTGAACGTTTCTTTGCCGCAGCCATAGTTCGATGAGGAATTACCACTTTTTAAACTGAGGTAAAGTTAGTTTAAAAAGGTGACTGCCAGTTGAAGGCAGAATGTACAGGGAATACTACCTGTTACAAGGATTATTCGACATCTGAAACAAGGAGAACAAAAGAAAAAAAATATTAAAGGCATCCATTTTTTGTTCTCTAAAAAAAAAGCATTTCTCAAAGGTTAAGGTATATTTCTAGCTCCAAGGATTGCAAGATATAAATTCTACACATTGTTGGAAGATGATAGATAAATCTAGATAAATAGATATCTAGATAAATCAAGAATCCCACCCAGTGATCTAAAATGTCTGATTTTACTGATTGATCTAAATTGACATAATATCAACTACTGAAGAACCTCAGTGGTTTACAAAAAACAAATTAAGGTCACAATTTTAATGACAGTGAAAAATGCAAATAAGTAAAAAAAAAAATTAAAATCAAGAGTTAAAACGATCTAAAAGCCTGCATGAAATATGGGTCCAATGGCTTATTTAAAAGCTAATGAAACTATTATGTCTCTCAGCTTTTCAGATGAGCTTGGATGGCAACAGAGAAGGATGAGTTCTAGTCATTGTCAGATGAGCTTCAGGTAATCATAACTGTGGTTCACAAATACTCTCAGTAAATATGAAAGTTCATATCTTTTCTTAAAACAGCTGTGGTGGCGCAGTGGTTAGAATGCAGTATTGCAGGCTGATTCTGCCCACTGCCAGGAGTTTGATCCTGACCTGCTTAAGGTTGACTCAGCCTTCCATCCTTCCGAAGTTTATAAAATGAGGACCCAGATTGTTGGGGGCAATATGCTGACTCTGTAAACCGTTTAGACAGGGCTGTAAAACACTGTGAAGTGGTATATAAGTCTATGTGCTAAATAACCTGAAATTAAGTAATAGAGGATTTTTAAAATAATGACCAGGACTTTAAGCATAGGGATCATATGATCTCTTTGCATCCTTCCTAAAACCAACCTTTTGTTATCAGTTTAAGTTTCCAGATAAGAGACAAATGTTGAGCGGGGGATGGGGGAGGGACTAGAAGACCTCCAAAATCCCTTCCAATTCTGTTATTCCGTTGCCCCATGTAAATCTCATTACTATAGTCTACCCTGGAAGATGGCAGCACATGCATCATAGTTTTATGGTTATTATCTTCCAGAAAGGAATGCTGTTGACATACCAGAAAAGCTGATCAAAGGTATTCCTGTCCATTGCTTTGATCTAGAGTTCTGGATCCACAAACACTTAAAAAATGCATACCTCCTCCTTCAAGTCCATTCAGAACAGAGAGATCTACCACATCTTTGAAGTTGTTCACAAGAGACACCGTGTTACTTGGATTCGATGTCCATTTGTTATCTCTCATCTAGTCCATTCCTGCCTGCAGAAAGGCATTTGGGGAACTTGGCCATTTTCTGAAGAAAATATAGACAAATAAATCTGGGTATCATCAGCTTCTAATCTCCAGATCATAACCCCCAGCAGTTCCATGACCTACACTGGAAACAAAAATGATCTTTTCCAGGTTAGCATGCTGTATAGATGTAATCTGATTGATGCTATGATTACTTCTTACCGCTAAAGAATAATAATAATAGCCTTTATTGTCATTGTACATCATGTATCCAAAGAAATTGGTAGAGAAAGGGGAGTAGGTCAGAATATATTCTCAAACACTCACAATATTGCATTCCCCAGAATTTTCCAGGAAAAGGTATGATAAACTGATTAAAAACCTCCTCAATTCATCTGCTAACAATAACTAAAATATATCTCAGAACAAGAGAAACAATGTCTGAAGCAAAGAATACCATCCTTGGCAGACTTGAAGCCTGGTGTCCATTCTTTCAGAATTTTCCTTTGGAAGCTCAGAGGTGTCCGCAATGGGAGGGGGAGGGGAATCCCAAAAAGGCAAGATGGCAGCCAAAAAGGGGCGGGGCTTTGAGTGCCCTTTTTTTTAATCACCCCCATGGACTCAGCAAATGCAGAAAATCCTTTTAGGCCATTTATCTTAATAGCTCACAAAACCGTTGAAAGTTATATAGCTTCCACCCCTTCCCTGCAACCTTCTGAATTAAATTAAGATTTCAGAAAAAACTGTCTGGTATGTGTTTCAGTTTTTCTTGGAGAGGAACTTAAAATGGCCCAGCTGCAGTCTAATTAGCTATTGCACACACAGTATTCACGCTGACAAGAATCAGAGGCTGACCCATCAAATGTCATCTAATACCATCTAGGCTGAGACCGGTTTCTCTGTAAACAATCAAAAGTAACTTAAGAGAAATTTGCAGGTCAACATCTCTAATTAGCACTGATCGAAGACGGTCTTACATCATAATTACCAAGTACATACTAGGATTGTCCAACACATTATAAGAGCTTCCCACAAAACCAGGCCATATGTTGGTAATTAATTTGAAAGTTATGACTATAATTTTGTTGCTTCTATCTTTATGACTTATATTGTTTTGTTTAGTCTCCTAGTATGATTTACGTTGATTGCTTATCTAGTATCCTATGACTATCATTAAATGTTGTATTTTAAGATTTATGATGAATGTATTTTTATGATGACTATGATCATGATTTATCACTTATAGCTTTTATGTACACTGAGAGCTTACACGCCAAAGACAAATTCCTTGTGTGTCCAATCACACTTGGCCAATAAAGAATTCTATTCTATTCTATTTACATTATGGCCTTTGCCACATCGGAGCTACCACCCATTAAAAAAAGAAATCAACTGTAAATGTTTGACTGGATTCTTGGATACTACACAGAAGATCCCTTAATGCTAGTATTTTGAAATATGCTTGATATTGGCTGGACAACATGGATCTACTCTGATGCTTCCTAGCCCCTCCCCCACCACCATTTGCAGCCCTCAAAGCTCTCCATGAACGTAAGGTGGCATAAGGTGGCAAAATGGTCACATTTCTATAGTACAATTTTCTGCCAAAAAGAAAACAAGGGTGAGTGGCTCAGAAGCTGGCATGAGATTTCTAGACTATTTCTAGAAGAGGGGTGTCAAACACAATTTCATTGAGGGCCGCATCAGGTTAGTGTTTGACCTCGGGGGGCTGGGGTCAAAGGGGTGTGGCCAGGCTTGGCGTGGCCATCATGATATCACTTGTGTTGGGGACACCTGTGGGGGCCCAAATGCTCTGCCAGTGAAAATGAGCTCCCGGGCTCCGTTTTCAGCTGCGACGACCTCCTACAACTGTCTGCCAGTAAAAAGGGACCTCAGGGGTGGGGGGGGACACATGTGGCCCTCACAAGCTCTGTTCCTCTGCCAATGAAAATGGAGCTAGGGAGGGCCACAGGCAGGCGGGAAAGCCCTCCCAAGCTCTGTTTTTGCTGGCAGAGGCACCGGGTTGGTCCACTATTTCCAGGGCAATCCCACAGGCCAGATCTGGCCACGGGCCTTGAGTTTGATACCCCTGTTCTAGAATAATGAGAAATGCTAGGGATTGCTAGGGCCATACAAATCATTTGGAGGGGTGCTTTGACTGGAAGACACCAGCCCTTACTTCATTTGGATGGATATTCTTGTGGAAAATTCCTCTGAGTATACATGGGTGTAGGCAGTTAACTTCCCGAAATTTCCTGGTTTATAAACCAGCCCTGATTCAATTCCAGTTACAAATGTGAGAATCGAAGAAGGCACATCCAATGATCCAATCTGAGTGTGCAGTTTGAGGGGAAAGCAATTCAATTTGACATTTTGCAATTTGTCTGAAATAGGACAAATTAATCTTGTCTTATCATAGGGAAGCATTTATACAGTGCAGCTGCTTCCTTTGAGGGGTGGAACGGAATGAAAATAGATATGATGCAAGACATTTATCTAATTTTATCTTGACTCTGTCGAGGTTTCAACACATAATAGGTTTTTCAGGCATTTTTCCTCAGCAATTTACAAGCAGAGATAGCAGTGTGAACGGAAGGTCAGCAGCAGAGCTACCAAATTTCTCCTTGAAATGGCCAACCATTTGCTGAATCACTGAGGAAAGCATCCAACTCAACTTGAAAATTAAAAACCTAAAAAAAATGTTTAGAAACTAAGCTCTTTTTTTTCCCATTTGCATTTCTGGAGAACTGACCTTACCGCGACACTGGTAAGTGACAACTGACTTAAATATGAGGGTACTTTGTCCTTGAGTACAGATAGTCCTCAACTTACAACAGTTCATTTAATGACAGTTCGAAGTTAAATGGCATTGAAAAAAATTACTTACGACCATTTTTCACACTTATGACCAATGCAGCATCCCCATGGTCACATGATCAAAATTCAGATGCTTGGCAACTGACTCACATTTATGACAGTTGCAGTGTCCCAGGATCATGTAATCTCCTTTTGCGAACTTCTGACAAGCGAAGTCAACGGAGAAAGCAGATTCATTTAACAACTCTGTTTTTAACTTAACAATTGCATTGATTCGCTTTAACAAATGTGGCAAGGAAAGTCGTAAAATAGGGCAAAATTCACTTTACAGCTGTCTCACTTAGCAACAGAAAATTGGGGCTCGATTGTGGTCGTATGTTGAGGACTACCTGTACTGTGGAGTGCCAGCAAAGTTAGCCTATATGGCTTCTGTGGCAAGCCAAACTGGGTAGGGCATCCTGGCAAATATAGGTTCTTTGGGACAGAATGACTCTTGCTCCCTGATATCATGCTGACCACATGTCCATGAAAATGACTTCAGACACTACCGGCTCAATGGCCTTGAAATGGAGATGAGCACTGTCCACTATAGTCAGCAATGACCAGCAAAATAAAATCCGCAGGGACTCCTTTACCTTTTTACCTTTCTTAAAAATGTAAACATTTTGCCCAGTTTTCACCCCACTCAAGGACTAGCTGATAGCAATTTAATCTGATAATATATTCATGCTGTGGGGTGGGGGTGGGGGAATCTCATGGCACTCTTGCCTCCAGTGGAGTTGGCAAAGCCTCTAATGACACTGCTAAGACAACCACAGACTACCTGTTGCAGTCCATCAACCTACACAACGTTTGTGCGTATCACTAAAAGGTTTTAAACAAAAGAAGTAAATATTTTTTTTAAAAAAAAATCATAATCAACATCAGTTCTTGGAAGGATTAGCTTTTGTAGAATCTTGACATTTTATACATTACTCTTAGACACAAGTCCTTTGTTAATGTACATTTAGCCTTCTGCAACATTTTGGTATGAACACAGTACTAACCATACTTCTTGTTCTGCCCCAGCTACGGACCCCAAAGAACGCAGCACACACAAAGTCCGTTCAAACCTTGGTTTACTAAATAAATCAGTCTTTTACAACAACGGCTGTTAATTAACTGCATTAAACAGCCGCCAAGAATTCGAAGAATAATAACTGAAAGCTTACTGTGGTTGGCAGAATGCCCAGAAGCAATTTGCAGGAAGCTGATAAGATAAGCAAGATAAGACAGGAAGGTATGTGAACTAAGTTGTTCCCTGCAAATTGCTTCCATCGGCATTCCTCCTTAAATAGGCTAAGGGAGTGGCCAATTAGCCCCAAGCCTTACTCTCGAGGAGACCCCCTCCTGAGGAGCCACTCCTGCCTTTTGGCAGTTCTGCGCGCCCGTGCATCGAGAAGAGGCTCCTCCTCTTTGTCCTCTTCACTTAAGGGAGCTTCTGGAGGTTCTGAAGGCCCTGGCTGAATTCCCGCCTCTGGCACCACATCTTCTCCAGCCTCCTCATTGTCTGACTCAAGTGCCAGCTGCACAGGCTGCTAGCGCAGCACCACACCAGACACCTCGGTGTCTGAATCAACTACTAGCTGCACAGACCGTGTATGGGCCACAACACCTCTATACAGGGGGCAGGACCTGGACAACCTTGACTGATTGGGCCTGATGAGAGTTGGCTCAGAGACTTCCAGGAAAGTAGGTTATGCTGGAAAGCCAAACAAATACCCTGAAAAATGACAATGGTACACCCTTCTTATTGCCAAGAAAAACTCATGTCCATGATGTCACAGCAGTTAAGCTCAACTCAAAGGAAGCCTTTCCTCTTTTAAAACTATCCTGGTATGGAATACAGGTAGTTACGAAGAAATTATAATGGTATAATGGTTGTATGGCTGGCGTCTACCTGGGAAGACATAGTTTCAGGTTCCTCCCATAGCCATGCAGCTCATTGGGTGACTCTGAACCAATCATTCTTCATCCAATGTAGATATAAAGAAAAAAAAGCGGAGTATGTGGAAAGTTATAGGTCCACAAAACTATTAAAGCAATTACAGATAGTCCTTGACCACAACGGAGCCCCAAATTTTGATTGCTAAGCGAGACAGATGTTAAGCGAGTTTCGCCCCATTTTATGAGCTTTCCTGCCACAATTGTTAAGTGAATCCCTGCACTTAACAATTATTAAGTGAATCTGGCTTCCCCTGTTGAAAGGAAAATCCATCTGGTCCAGTTCCAAGCTGGGAGAAAGATGCTGGAAACAACATGGAGCTTCTTGGATGAGAAGAGAAACAT